AAGACCCTCATTAAATTCAAAATATGAACATAACGTCAAGTATCCCTAGACCTGTTAGTTCCAACGGCTATTGGAGGAGGAACTTCTCGCTGTCTTCCAGGTGAATCCCTTAGACGCCATTCACAGACCACCCCTCCTTCCTCACCTACTCTCGCCCTGAGCGGATCTTCAAATGCGACTTTTAGCTGACAAAATAATACAACCGAAATAACTGTTAGGGCAACCCTCCAAAAAACCATTCCTTTCACTTGCAACTTTTTAGCCCATGAAACCCATAACATTTCTTATCAGCGCCATTGATGAGGTCACATTTATGATAACGTCCATAAATGCACAAAACTCGCATCATAAACAACTTGAAAGAACAGGACAACGTTTCATTTTGAAAGTAGCGATTACGACAATTTAAAACAATCAATTCCCAGTTGGACCACTAATGCATATAGTCAGTTAGTTGGACGAACGGGTCAAAACACTCCCCCAATCCCAAGAATGCTGCCCACTCAGAAATCACGTCCTCGAGTGACGCCATGAAAACGCCTTCTTAGCCTCCAGTCTGCAACTTCTCCCTTCAACCTCGGCATGTCAGTTGGAACAAGGAAACAATCACTTCTTATCACTTTAATGGTGAACGCATAGCAGTCATGTGCAGTCACGTGGAAAAGGAAACAGACGTGAGGTCCTACGTGGTCAAAAACTACCCAAATAAATCAGAGTAAAGGCTCAAAAACTCTCATAAGAAACGTCCACCGTTTTAATGAGTGGAAACGTTTTCCGTTTCCAGAGACAATGCCCCACTTGCCAACACTTAAGCCAGTGATTTGTACAAAAATGACATTAAATATTAGCCAAACATGAAAAATGCCATGTTGAAAGCCTAAGAGCTCTTATCATTTAGGACTTCATGGTCAGGGGGTAATATATCCTGGCAAACCCTACAGATTCGTCCCGCTTACGAGTAATAATGCGAAATCTAGAGAACTACAGAATTCATTCTTTTTTCACAAAGACCTCTGGAACAGGTTACATCATGAGGACGGTGAAAGTAATTAGGGTAAACCGGTCTTTAAGCTCTACCACTCCGGTGCTGCTCCTAGTGTGACCTTCTCCTAGAAGGTCATGCCAGAAGCAGCACCAGAGGGGTACAACTGGAGGAAACAACTCCATCAATATACCTCCTTCGTGATGGCAATAGGAAAACAGATCAGATGGCAGTTCAAGCTATACAAAGGACAGTACGCTCTACTTCCCCCAAAACTTCTTTTCGTATGAAAGCAGACACTTCCCATCGGCCCAAATACTATCTCCAGTGGGTCAAATACACCCCCCCGCTGAGGATTCTTCAGCCCCGCTGAACACATCCGCAATAAAGTGACAGGCCAATTTTACCAGAGCTTCGAACTATCACTTGTTATTTTTGGAATAACTTAACGTCTGTCGGTCGTAGATTATCACTTACCGTATGTGGGGTACCTGCAATTTTACGGACAATTTCAGG